GACCTGCCTGCAGCTGAGCGTCCAGCAAATCAAGGACGGGGCAGAGGAGGGCGGGAGGGAGGGGGACGAAGGCGAGGGGATTGCCGGTGGGAGCGACAAGCCCCGGAGTCGGTACCCGGTAATCATTGGCGTGGCGGCGGTCTTGCACGCAGCTCTGCAGAACCGCTTTGTCCTGTCTTGCCTGGAGGGGGCGCAAGTAGCGACTTTGGAGGAGGCTCAGGCGCGCTGGTGCCTGTTCAACGAGGAGTTTTACCCCTCCGAGGCCGACAAGCTCGCGCACTACCGGGATCAGTGGGGTTTGGCTTTCAGGCCCGTCCCTCCTCCCTCCATCCTGCCCAAGGTGGCGAACGCCCTTACGGAGGAAATGGAATCGCTTCTCCCGGCGCTCCTCCCATCCCAGGCCTGTTTTCAGACCAGGGAGAACGTTCGCGCGCGCGTGGAGGCGCTTCTTCCATCCCGTGGACCGACGACTTTCCCCGACGGCACCCGCCTCCGAGTCTTTGGTTCTAGTGCCAACAATTTCGGAAACGATGCCGCGGACCTGGACATGTGTGTGACCTTCCCGGACTCCTCCCCACTGCCGGCGGGAAGCTCGGGGGAGATGATCGAAGCCCTCGCCTCTCTGTTGGAGGCCAATGGCATGGAGGACGTGGTCGCACGCCCCACCGCCAGGATCCCCATCGTCTTGTTCCGAGAACCGGGGACAGGCTTGGACTGCGACATCTCGGTGGAGAACCCCCTCGCCCTCAGGAATACGCAGCTACTGCACGAGTACAGCCAAGTGGACCCGCGCGTTCGGGCTCTCGCTTACATTGTCAAACACTGGGCACGGGCCAGGAAGATCAACAATGCAAGCGGCGGTACACTCTCCTCGTACGCGTACATCCTGATGGTCTTGCACTTTTTGCAAACCGCGGCGGCGGCCGTGCCTTCCACTCCAGACACCCCGTGCTATGCACCCCTGGTCCCCAACCTGCAGCTGTTGCCGCCTGACTGGAAAGGGAACGAAATGGACCGGCGGGAACAGATGCAAGGACAACGGCAGCTGCCTCGCCAACTCGTGACACACCCCTTGGAGGGCATGGACGTCGACACCTATTTTTACACGGAACCGCCTTCGGAGGAGCAGGGACAGCCCAACGGGCAGAGGAATCTGTTGAGAGAATATGCTGCAAGGAACAAGGCATCCGTGGGCGAGTTGTTGGTCGCCTTCTTTTGGTACTACAGCTGGGAGTTTGACTACCGCGACCTCGTGCTGAGTGTGCGCTTGGGAGGGGCCATGAAAAAGGAGAGGAAAGCGGAGGAAGACGGGTGGGCGGTCAATTCTAGACTCGCAATTGAGGATCCTTTTGAGACCTGGTATAACGTTACGCATTTTTTGAAAGAGGGAAAACATCGACATATCCGCCAAGAATTTGCAAGAGCTTATGCATTGTGTGTGGAGGAGGCAATGGGGGAGGGTGCGACAGAGGCAGGTGCCGAGGGTTTATTGGCGCGGATATGTGAGGAAGCGCCTGATCCGCCTGCTCGGAAGGAGACGATGGAAGACGACGCCGGCGTTGTACAGGATGTGCAGGCATTGGGGTTGGAAGAGGCTGAAAAGGAGATGAGCGGGAAAGGAGGAGGCGCACAAGAAGGAAATGAGACCCAGGATCTTCTCTAAGGCTAGAGTAGGATTTCGCCAGTACCGATAAGGGTTAATAAGGTACCGATGGGATAGAGGAAAAAGCTGTGGTAAAAATCTCAGCCGCCAAGTATTTTGATTGAGAGTAAATCAGCCCGAAAGTATCGTGTTGCATCAATTTGTTGCATTAATTTGTGAGAATCAAAAAACATAGTCCGCAGAAAGATGCAATAGAAGCAAACGGACAATAGCTCATTTCAAGCTGAGGATCATACCTATACTTTGCTGTTGCTTCACAGAGTTGCTCTTCACTAAATATGGTGACGCATTTAAAATACACAATGTGGTGGGCTGACATGTCTTCACACGAAGGATGCCTTCCGTCTACGTACAGTCTCAAACGTGTATGCGAGGAGCCATGCCGATTCGCTCTCTCTGTGATGTCTATGCGAAGTTACTGCCAATAAAATCATGTGGATTCAAATATCCAGACCCCCTTCTAGGATACCTCTCCTCTTGCCCCACCGCCTCCGAGAAAAAGCCGCACTTGAGGACAGAGAGGCTGAGGAGAGGGACGAGCGCGAGTGGCCCATCATGATCCTGGCAATCCTGTCGGTCTCAAGCTCCGAATAGCGCTGTGAACGGTGCGCGCGAACATCTTCCACCGTCCCTCGTGTCTGACGCCCGTCGTGACCTCCCCGGGGGGTGCATCCTCGCGTTCTCTCTGGCTTGCCGAGATGGCGGCTGCTGCTATTGCCCAAATCCATCAGTGCCATCTCCCGCCCGGATCGACGGAGGGGACTCGTCCAAGAGGCCGCGACCCCACCAGGAGGGACACTGAGGTCGGTTAGGGCATCCTTGATATCGTCCTTCAGGCCCCGGCGGCCTCCTTTCGGGTTGGCTCCCAAACGCCCGTTTCCATCCTGAGCGCAATGCCTATCCCGGGAGGACGAGGACACCAGCGCCCCCTTCTTTTCTTGTCGCATTTTTTCTCTGAATGCCACGCGCCTTCCGACCAGACCTTTACCTTTTATCGTTTCCGCCATGTACTCCGGCTCGTGCTTCACTTTTCCCTCCCCGTCCGATGCCGGAACCCCCCAGGACGCCAGCCCTTCTTCCGCGAACGCCTCCCCTGACGACGCCAAAGGAAGGGAAGGGAGAGGAGATGCTGCCGAGGTCCAAGAGGCCGACGGGCTTCCGTTCGTGAGCTCCGAGGCCGCGGCCCCGCCGTCTGTCTGCACGCCCCTCTCCTGCCTTTCGGATGTGGATGATCCCCTCAGAGGGCTCCGCCACTGCACCGACCCCCCCGGGCCTGCACCCTCTTCCCTCTTGGCCTGCGAGAGGAGGCTTCGGTCGAGTTCTGTCAGCTGGGAGACCATCGTATGCAGCACGTCCCATCCCCCTTCGCTGCAGATCCCAGAGGATGCAAG